AAATGTAGCAGTGTTTGCGCGAATTTGAATGGTCAGCGAGGGGTAAGTTTTACTCTGTTATCCTTCCTTTCTTTCAAATGCCATCAGACCCTATTATTAATCTTTTAAACGACCTACCAAATTTATTGACTGGATTTGATAGAAAAAAAACCTGTATAGAGAGCTTTAACCGGAAAAAAATCCAGTTTTAATCACTTACTCGCCGTGTCATCCAGAATTGTAGTAGTTGACAAATGAGAGAGAAATATGTAATTGATGACTCGTTTTAGCGACAACGGAAGACGCTTCTTTGTCCATCAAATCTCGGCAACTTCCTTAATGTCTCATTCCTTACTTCTTCATCTTTCTTTTTTCGTTTGACTTAAAATAATTCGTCATATTCAATACTGTTTTTTTCTGGTACACTGTTTTATGAGAGGGCCTCATGGGGTGATAGCTCGTACGGCTAACGGTTAAAATTTTGATAATTTACGGCTGACAATTAATTTTTCCATTAAGGTTTGCTTTTAGAGTTAACTATTTTTACGACTAATAAGGTTAAACGTTGTTAGTATCTACGCCTATTGCTTAAATTGGCTTTGGGTAGTGGTTGATTAAATGAATTTTTCCTTTCCTTCTTTTCTTCATTCCATAGAATTCGACCGTGAAAAGAAGTAAGGGAAATGTTGTTTGCGTTAAGGGTAAGAGGTTCCTTAATACCCTGGTGGTTCGACCACCATTACTAAGTAATGCAGTTTCAGAGAAAAGGTACACCGGATTAGCATGAATAACTATACATAACACTTAATAGATCGCTATCATTATTAATACCAACAAAAGCATGTTTCATGTTACAGGATTATATGTTTCTGAGAGTAAGCAAAAGTCTTGCTTTATGAAACAGTGTATAGGAACATTACAGTAACCGTGGTAACTGCTTTCTCTCGCTCACTTCAAATGGCTGAGGAAAGGAGACCCAAAGAATGCGTACTGCGCTGAAACACGAAATCTAATAACGTCAATCTTCTGCATGCAATACCACTCAGTGATATCGGTAATTTGATTAGCGATAGTTTTAGTGATAGATAAACTTAAACTGAATGTTGCTGTACCAAACTAAATATTAAAGAATCGTAAGTTGTAAGGAGCGGCAAAAACATTCTTCAAAAGAAGTATTCACTCTGTTGCTTACTTGGATGCAAATTTTGTTTCGCCTCTGTCATTCAAAATTCATCATATTTTTATATTTATTCATTTATTTATTTTCATTTCGTTTGTGGGACCTCAAGGCCCACCAGGTCCTCCCGGTATACCTGGACGCACTGGTCCCCAGGGCCCTCCTGGGTCGAGCGGTAAGAGGGGAAGAAAGCAACAGAGGTGTGCCAGGTCCCCAGGGAAAACGCGGCCTAAGAGGACCACCGGGGCCCCCTGGGAAATCAGCACAACAGAGAACAAACCATAGAGGTGGAGGTCAGTTAGGTAAGTTATTTAATCTGTTGGTTTTTTTTCTCAAAATCTTTTTTTTTTTAACCCTATTCACCTGAAACTTTAATGCCTTTCCATTCGGCTGCTTTTTATTTTTCAAAACGATGTTAACAAAAAGTTTTCTCTACAGAATTACCACACTTCATTTCAAAGCCTTCCCCCACCATAACAGTAAAAGAAACACAAAATGTTCTAATACCATGTAAAGCAAATGGCTTCCCACAACCCGTGATCACGTGGTACAAAAATGGACACCTGATAGAAAAGGAGAGGAAGTACTTTGGAGAAAGGAGTCTAAACTTAGAGAAAATTCAATTCCAGGACCGTGGTGTCTACACCTGTACAGCGGAAAATCTCATGGGCAGGGCAGAGTTATCCGTCAATGTCAGCGTGAAAGGTCTTTCCAAGAGATTAATAATCTCTCGCTGTCTTTATAGCGCAATAGTTGGCATTCAGTTTCATATTTTCCCTTCATTAAATTCTTTAATGTAGTTATTTATAGTTATACAGATTATTCATTTTTAATTCTAAAAGGTCCAGATACCTCCAGTTCATTATTTGCTGGTTAAAAGAAATGCACTTTCTAGTTATAATGCGAGCTTAACGTTCTCCGCACAGCAATCGGTCATGCACGCCTTGCGACAAAAACTATTTGAATTCATCGTTCATCGCGAGCGTAAAATTGCGGATAAATAGCTCGCCTTATAAACTTCAATCAATATTCTTGTCAAAGCTTGCCGGATCACTGGTGCTATAATCTACATTATGATACTGCTGAACACTATTAGGATGTCCTAGTATGCATTTTGTCTCATTTTGAACTTCGTTCACATTTTGTGGTGTAATGTTTTTTTGGTAGTACCAGCAAAATTTATTACCGAACCTAAGCGTTCCATAATTGCTTACAAGACATGGGACACTGTGCTCCAATGTGACATCTTTGGTTACCCTTCCCCTGTGATAACATGGACAAGATCAGGCGAGCAGCTTTCAGTCAAAAGGCATTTTAGTAACGGTTCCCAACTTATGATTTAAAACACAACAGAGGACGATGCAGGCGCTTACGTTTGCCAGGGAACCAACCAAATGGCAAACGTTATGAGAGTGATATGGGTTATCGTTAAAGTTGTTGGTGAGTATAAAAATGTTAAGAACCCACAAATAGACAACAAAAGAGTACAATAAGAGTCTAAACAACCTTTATTGGATTTATGCAAACTGTTAGCGATTCAAATGGTAAATCTAATTTTGTTTGCTTATCTGTAAAGTGGATCCCTACATGGTATCCAGTTCTCCCGGTGAAATCAAGGTACGACATGTTGGTGATACTGTGACATTAAACTGTTCAGCCGGTGGCTCGCCGTTACCCAAGGTCATGTGGTTCAAAGGTGGTCGACGTATTAATTTCAGAGTTATGAATGACGGA